CGATTGGAAGTGTCGTTGTTCCTGTGTCGATTTATAAAGTCGTTTTTCTTTTTGCAGTTTGCATTTGACAACCATGTGTCTGCAGTACAAGCCAACCGTAGTTGCCTGTTTTTGCATACATCTTGCGTGCAAATGGTCCAACTGGGAGGTGAGCATCGTTAATGACATTCCTTAATAGAGAAACATTTGAAGATACTTCTTTTATAACCTCTTAAATAAATTTCATAACTTATGAAATAACATTTAATTAATTACAGTACTGCAATCATTCATTTATAGATACCACAAAGTACTGAAGGGAAGCACTGGTTCTGGTACGTCGATAAAAGCGTAACGTCTGAACTTTTACAAGAGCTTACAGCAGAATTCCTCCATATATTTGATAAGTGCCCGTCAAGATTGAAACGAAAAATAATGAGCATATCCGCCAATCAAAGTCCAAGCATTAATCATCCTAGTTTACCGAATTCACCCTTTGTGAGTACCCTTATCGATGCAACATTTCGATTAAATTGGATTAAACAAAATGAAAGTTATGAAAATGTAGATTGGTTAGCAACAAGAAGGAAAGTATACGTTAAATTTACCAAACAACCCTATTTTGTCGTTTGTCTAGGATGCGGAACCTCGCAAGGTACAATCTCCTGCGACGACGGCCGACGGTGGACCTACATTCCATTCGAATCGACCTCATCAGATGGAGAAGCAAGAAGAGAAGAAGCAAATTGCACCAGCATCCTCAAGACCCCCTGTCGATTATCGGGAGTATAGAGAGAAGAAGGAACGCGAGCGTTTGGAAAGGGAAAAGGCGTCGGTTACAACGACAGTTGCCCAGAGTCATGTGTCAGATATTAATAAGCATCATTCGCATCACCACAAACTCGTATCTAGTACAAATGTGCTAAACAAACATCCACTGCCCCCTGGACAGAAGGCGCTTCACCACAATCATCACCACAGACCAGATATAAAGGTTGGACAACCAGTACCTCAGAGGCACTCAAGTAGCGCTCAAGCTAGGGAACCAAATCGCGATCCCAATAGGCAGAGGTTACAAAGAGAGTACAATTCGAATACTGGTACAAGTAGCAGTAGTAGTAGTAGTGCTCTTCATTCTCATAGTCACGCGGTATCGAAGGAGTCAAGTTTGGATAATTCATTGACGGATTCCGCCACTCACAGATCGGATGTCGGAGCATTGCAAGAGCCAACGTCCCATGGAAGTATACAGGAGAAACTTAGTAATAATAACCATAGTGTGCACAGATTAAGTGCAGTAGAAAGCAAATACCAGGGTCATGACAAACGAATGTATGATCCGAGGCATAAACCTGTTGAACATAGGAAAGATAGTGAACAAAAGCCATACAAATATCCCGATCCAACAAGAGAATATCGACAAAAAAAGTCTGATACGTTAGAGCAGAGGTGTGAAGAGGTGAGGAAGCTTATCGAGAAGCCATTACCTCCGCCCAAGCCTCCACTCGACGTACCGTACGCTTCGAATACACAGAAGCCACCACATCATACGAAATACAATCAATCGGAGAAACTACAGGCTAGCAGTGGCGCAGTTTCTACCGACGTGAAACTTCCCACTGGCCAGAGTTCGTTTTCACAGGAAAAATCACCAACCAGTTCCAGTTCGACCTCGTTGCTTACACAGAAGTCGTTAACCTCGAAGACGGTGTCCAGTCAGCACACAGCTCACGGTGTGTCCCAAATAATAAAGGATACGATTAAAAATGGTAGTTCTCAGTCGTCGAGTTTGTCATCTTTGAACAATCTCGACGATCAAAAAACTGAAAAGCGACCACGGCACGATGACATAGAGAAAAATTCGTCTGACATGCAGCAAAGTGTGTTACAGACACCTCCTAACAAGCCGAAATCGCTATTCAGTCCAGAGAAAGTACCAACGCCTCGCGAATCTCATTCGCAGAGGCCTAAGACTAAGCAAAAGACGCCGCCTTCGGCTGCAAAAGTTCCTAAACAAGAACGCGTACCAGATACGTCGATAGGCTTTAATTTAGTATCGCCGTTCGCGAGCCCGCCAGGCTTGCAACAGCAAGAAACACAAACAGTTAAACGATTGGCCAGTGATGTTTCCACAACATCCTCTCACAAAAGGCATCGTACAGGCAGCACCACCACCGAAGTAGGACAACAGGTTCAAAAAGTGAAAATAGACGATACTTCGAGTTTCGAGGCTGCTAAGATGCTCGGTAGGGTACCAGAACTGATACAACCTATCAGAGATAATCCATCGGCAAATGGTAGAGCCACTCAGATCGCGAACGACATGAAACCACCGGAACTCATCAGACCGTTCGACTCTGAGCCAACGATATCACGCTTCGGTACAGTGTCTACACAGCAACAAGTTTCGTCGAATCAACAAGGTCTGACCAATGGTCTGGACAACAATTTAGTGAAGCAAGATTCTCAGGAGTTTCTAATTAAGAAGGAGCCTACGTACAAGACGGACTTGTCAATGAAAGTAGAACACTCCCAAGCTAAAGGCGAATATTTGTCGCCAATGAAATCCGCTCAAAGTATAAGTGCTCTGCTTCAAGAGCCTTTAGCACCAATGCCATCGTTGTTGCAGAACATGCAGCAATTTAGTCAAATACCGTCGCAGCAAGTTCACCAGGATCAATTCCAGCAACAGCAGTTACAACAGCTTCAGCAACAGCAATCATCGCAACAACAACACCAGCCATCTATATCACACTCGATGCTACTCACACATCAAGAACCCGTTCAAACTCAATGCATGTCTTTGTCATCGGTCAGCGAGCCTGTTATAGCGTCGACCGTTGACATAAGCGCTCTCTCTATTCCCATACAGACCAGTACAGAATCCATACTATCTGTACCAACGTCGACAACCATAACCGTTCCACCTCCCGCAGAAGAAAAGAGATCGGAGCATCACAAGAGCGAGAAGAAGAAGAAGAAAGAGAAGCATAAACACAAGGACAAGGATAAGAGCAAAGAGAAGCACAAGCACAAGCATAAAGACAAGGACAAGGAGAAGCACCGGGAAAAGGACAAAGAGAAGGGCGATGAGACTGTACCTGCGGTACCTATTAAAATCACTATTCCTAAGGACAAATTGAATCTGAGCACAGAATCGACAAGTAGCACCGGCGGAAGTACAATTCCACCGGATAAGAACAAATCACCCCAGAATACAAGCATCAAGATCATTATCCCGAAGGAACGGTTAAAAGGTACCGACAGTGTGTCAAGTTCACCGGCTCAGTCGATGGTCCAGGCACCGTTGAAGATCAAAATCCGTACGGATGGAATCTCAAGGAGTTCAGGTGCTCCGTCGACGACGAGCAGTACGAGCAGTAGCATCGTGCCGGAGTTCACGAACGAGAGTCGTAAACGTGACCGTTCGGAGATAAAGGAGAGCCCAACTACCAGTGTTCCACCAACGAAGAAGCAATCGCAGGTCTCGTCGGCGGGTTACGGACAGCATCGGCCTGGAGAACGGCAGAACGGCAGACACTATAGTTCAGGCAGCAATAACAAGGTACGTGGAGGCGGTAGCCAGTATGTCGGGCGTGGTCCACCACCAGCAGGATCGGCGGGCCATTACAGTGCTCCCGGCCAGCGCGACGGCTACTATCAGCAAGACACCTACATTAGTAACAGTACCCGTAATCCTCATCATCCACCCCATCCACCATCCGCTCGTGGTGATCCAAATTACACGAGGGCTGGCCATGTGAATCAATCACAACCAGATTCTTATTTCTTTGCCAATTATCCGCCGCCCTCGATGTACAATCCTGCCGGATACATTTACGATCATCTCATGTACTATTCACAGTATCAGCAACAGTACCCTATGTATCCGACGGGTAACGTGATCATGACACCGGACGGTGCCATCGACACGTCTGTACCACCACCATCCTTACCGCCTAACATGCGACAAAATCAAAGCATGATCCCAGTTACGTCTACTCGGCAGGAACCCAAAACACCGCCACCGTTGCCGAGTGAACCACCTCCCAGTTCCTCTCCACCTCCACCCCCGCCACCAGAATAACGTTCGTACGGAAATCCTGTCTTGTAGTGGACTTCAGAGGTAGTTTCCAATGTAGCGGTAGTAACTGCAGCCACTTCTTTCGTCTATTCTCTTATACTCTATTCTCTCCGGGGGGAACTTTATTGTTTTGTTATCTGTAACAACCCGTTGTGTTAGCATGTTCCATGGCATTGGTAGGCTAAGTGTACTTACTTACTTAGTGAAGCGAAATTTTGATTGTATGGTTTTATAATAGATGTAAAGGAAGACGAGTGTAAAAATTGTGAATCTTCTTCGACGATGGAAATACTTTCTTGTCAAATTTTTCTTTCACTTCACTTGTCTCTCAGGCATGGAATGTGTTATATGTAAATCTGTGAAATTTATTCGTGCAATATTTTTGTAATACTCTATTTCTTTTCTTTCGTTATTTTTAATTATTCTTGTGGAAAGTTGTGTGTATCCCTGAGGTGATTTAAACAAAACAAAAAAAAAGAAAAAAACAAAAGGGAAACATGAGAAGTGGCTGGAGAAAATCCCGTAGAAAATCAAACTTTCGATCTTAAAGGAGTACACTTTTCACCTTTGCCTCTATCCTCTCTTCTTCTCCCTTCCAGTTTGTGAATGGTAGAAGTAGCAGCATGACATCGTACGATCTCTTATTCCCTAGTGTTTAAAAAAAGATATGACCACTTCGATCTTTCCACCTTTGTACCTGTAGCGCATCTCCTTAGAGTAGTTTAAATGAGTGTGAGCCTTCGTTCAAGAATAAAAGAACAAAAAAAAGAAAAAGAAAATAAAAGAGAAGTGCGTGGTCCTCGGGGATCTTGAGGGGACGAAGTAACTGCATCATGAAGACGACGATGTCACGAGAATTAACGTGCGATGCGTAGAAGAAGGAGAAACAAGATCAGATCGATTTTATTTTAATCACGAACGTTTAATCAAGTTTTCTGTTTTTTTTTTTTCCCAATTAATTTGTCGAATTAATTTAGAATTATTATTTGGCCATACCTGCGCCCGAGGTAGGTCCATGAATTTAGGGCGACGATTTCACGGCAACTATTCTCTTTTAATTTCGCCCAATATTTTACGAAGCATGATTTTTTCCAATGTCGATAAATTTAGAAGATAATGTTTTTTATAACGTTATTTGTAAAAAAAAAAAAAAAGGTCGTGAAGATTCACGCACGAAACACTGCCAGATCAAAGATGAAGATGTAGCTGATGTTTTTGCGCTTACGATCGAAGATTTCTTGCTTAACGAATGCTCAGTTGAAAAAAAAAAAAATTCCTTTGCTGGCAAAGGGTTTCGATGATAGGATGGTGTGCAGAGTGTTGCGTTCTCGTGAGATAAAAAATAAAAAAGAAAAAAACCGAAAAAAGGAAAAAAAGAATCGTGTCGAATTCGAAATGAGTAAAACGGCTAGAGGAACTTACGAAGTTACTTAAAAAGCAAACAAAAAAAAAAAAGAAACAAACAAAGGGGTTAAAAAATAAGAAAATATACAAAATGGTAAAAAAAGAACAATGTATCGTATGCAGTGAAGTGATGAGAGTGCTCAGATGCATATAAGTGTAATTATTAATGATGAATATGGAGAAAGTGTACGTATTTGTAAAGGATATA